GATTCATTTTTGTATCATTTTCTTAGTTTCCATTGCATTGATTTCTGCTCTTATCTTTATAATTTCCTCTCTTGTTCGAGCTTTGGGTTTTTCTTGCTCTTGTTTTTCTAGGAGTCTAAGAGTCATCGTTAGGTTGTTTATTTGAGCTTGCTCTGTTTTCCTAATGTGGGCATTCAGTGCTATGAATTTTCCATGTAGAACTGCTTTCATTGTGTCCCATAGATTCCTGTATGTTGTATTGGCATTCTCATTTATTTGTAAAAACTGTCTGATTTCTTCTTGGATTTCTTCTGTGATCCACTGATTGTTCAGGAGAGTGTTGTTCAATTTCCATGTGTTTGTGAAGTTCCTACAGTTTCTCATGCTATTGATATCCAACTTTATTGCATTGTGATCTGATAATATACAGGAAACAACTTCAATTCTTTTGCATTTAGTTAAACCTGTTTTGTGAGCTAGTATGTGATCTATCTTGGAGAATGACCCATGTGGAGCTGAAAAGAATGTATATTCTGATTTTGTGGGGTGAAATACTCTATAGACGTCTAATAAGTCCATGTGTTCAAGAGCTTGGTTCAGTTCTACTATTTCATTGTTGTTTTGCCTAGATGATCTGTCTATTTTTGATAGTGGGGTATTCAGATCCCCCACTACAATTGTATTAGTGGTTATTTGGTTTTTCATGATACTTAATACTCTTTTTATATAGTTGGGGACATTTATATTTGGTGCATATATGTTTATGATTGTCATTTCTTCCTCTTGAATTGTTCCCTTTACAAGGATGTAGTGGCCTTCTTTGTCTCTCTTAATGAGTTTTGGTTGAAATTTGCTTTGTCTGCAAATAAGATTGCTACCCCTGCTTTTTTCTGTGCTCTTGTTGCATGGAGAATTGTTTTACATCCTTTTACTTTTAGTCTATGGGCTTCTTTTTACACTAAGTGTGTTTCTTGCATACAACATATCGTTGGATTTTGCTTCTTAATCCATTCTGCCAATCTATTTCTCTTGATTGGTGAATTGAGACCACTGACATTGATAGTTAAAACTGATATGTACTGACTTATTATTGTCATGTTTTTGTCCTTTTGTTGACTCTATTTTTTGTCCTCTCTTTTTAGTTTCTAGCCTTGGCTATTTGATTTGCTCTGTTGGACCTCCTGGTGTTGTGATCTTCATTGTCTTTTTTCTAGAATATTGTTTAAAATTCTTAGTAGTGCGTGTTTAGTATTCATGAAGTTTCTCAAGTGTTCTTTGTTGTGGAAGTATCTTATTTCTCCATCCATTTTGAAAGAGAGTTTTGCAGGCTACATCAGTCTTCGTTGTAGGTTGTTTGCTTTTAGGATTTGAAATACCTCACTCCAGGCTCTCCTTGACCTGAGGGTTTGTGTTGAAAAGTCTGCTGTGATTCTGATGGGCTTTCCTTTGCATGTGATTTGTTTCTTTTCTCTTACTGCTTGTAGTATTTTGTTCTTCTGTTGGGTTTCTAGGATCTTGATTATTATATGTCTAGGTGTAGATTTTTTTTTGATCGTGGCTAGTTGGTGTCCTATATGCCTTGCTTATCTGTATGTCTAATTCTTCCCCTCTGTTTGGGAAGTTTTCAGTCATTAATTCTGTGAACAGCTTTATTAAGTCATTTGCATTTTCTCCTGGTACTTCATAGATTCCTATCAGTCTTACATTATTCTTTTTTGCATCATCTAGGAGTTGTTGGATAGATTTCTCATGCTCCCTGACTGTTTTTAAGAGACCTCTCTTTTCATGGTCACTGTCTGCTATCATATCTTTTATATCTGAGATCCTATCCTCACAATCTTCTATTCTGTTATGTATGCTTTCAATAGAGTTTTTAATCTCTTGGATGTCTGTTTGAATCTGTTTAATGGATTCCATTTCTTTCCTATGTTGGGTATTCATTGCTTCCATTTCTTTCTTATTCTGGGCCTTCATGGTTTCTATTATGTTTCCAAGCTCATCTATTTTTTTGTCAGTTTCTGTTCTGGATTCTCGAATCATGTCTTTCATTTTGCTCACCATCTCTATGGTTAACTGGGAAATAATTTCTGTTTTGAATTTTTCTAGAGCTTGATTGATTAGTTTTTTTACTTCATGTGTTGTGAGTTCTGAGTGTCCTGAAGTTTCACTATCTGATTTTTCATCCTCCTTTGCCCTACTGTTTGCCATTGGTGGACTGGAAGTCGGTCTTTGTGGCTTGCTTAAGTGTTTTCTCATCTTTATTTTTGCTGTTGGGTTGACCTTGATTGAATCTCTGGGTCATTAAATCTTCCTGATATCGTTGCGTCCCAGCCTTTGATTCTCTAATGACTTCTTATTTTCATAATTGAGCAAACAACTCATCAAATCAATCCCTATCCTTTATCTCTATCGATAAAATTAGAAACATAATAGGATTAATCACCACCCTTTATAGCCTGCCATGCCTCTGCAGAGTGTGTCCTAGGACTGGCTCAGTCAAGGGATCTAATAGTGTGGGGGGGCTACCCTCCTACCACTGTGTCTGAGCCAATTAGTGGTGCCTGCTGGAAATGGTGCGGCTCCAGAGGAGGCCGCGCAGGAGACAGGGCTCTGAGTCCAAGCCGGGGCGATGATGTTAAACTCACCCGACTGGTGTTAGTTGTAGCCAATCACTCAGTGCCTGCTGGAAACGGTGCAGCTCCAGTGGAGAAATTATTTCTGCTTTCATTTTTTCTAGATTCTCTTTCATTGCCAGTTTTGGAAGTCCAGGTGGTTGAGAATCGGGTTGTTCCACCTCATTTCCCTTTGGGGATGCCTTAGGTGATGTGGAAGTCTGATTTTGAGATTTGTTTAATGTTTTTTCATTTCAACAGACACTGCCTACTGTGCCTTTGCTGAGGCAACTTTTTGCTCATCTAGTGGTCTCCACTTTTCAGCAAGCCACTAAGCGGTCTTTTCTCTGCTGCTCACCAGTGCACCAATTCCTGGGTTCTCAATGGTTGCCTTCTGGAAACATGAGCTGACCTGTTCTCTGGTTGGACTACTGGCTGGGGCCTGTCTCCCTAGGTAGCTGTTGTCTGGCAGGGCCTTTGGCTCAGGGCAGTGTACCCAAGTCCCTGGTGTCTGAGCAGGCTCCTGGCTAGGGTCTCTGCCTTCTTACTGATGGTAACAGGGTGAGCCACTGGCTGTTGCTCATGTGCAGCACTTTTCCAGGCTGGCCTTTGGCTTGGGCCTGTGTGCCGAAGCAGTAGGGGCCAGGGCAGGGCCCTTGCTGGACCTGCCTGAAGCCACACTCTTCAGGTCCATACTGTTGCTCATTGGGATCTGCACACACTTACTGTTGGTATTGGGGTGAACCTCTAGATGTTGGTTGTGTGCCTGTGTAGCTCTGTTCTAGGAAGCCCTTTGGGTTCAGGGCTGGGCCCTGGGGGGGAGCAGGCTGCAGCCTCACTGGTCACTTGCAACTGAGACAGCCTTGTAAATGTTTTCTCTTTTATCCAGCTTTCACTTCCCTGCACCTGACCCAACTCACTGAAAACTCTCTTGAGTGAAATCTCTGCTGGCTTCTCCTTACCAGATTCTCTAGCTTCACAGGTCTCCATTCTGACCCCAACTTTTCCCTCTGAGAACTCTTCTCAAGAATGGATCCTAGGCCAGGCGTGGTGGCGCACGCCTGTAATCCCAGCACTTGGGAGACTGAGGCAGAAGGATCGCTGTGAGTACGAGACCATCCTGGGCTACACAGTGAGTTCCAGGTCAGTCTCAACTATATAGTGAGACCCTGTCTCAAAAAACCAAAAAAACAAAATA